AAATCTGATCTGATGAAAATATGCTTATTCATTTTCTTGCCGAGATCTAGATGAGAAAATTGGAGTGTCTGCTGATTGCCCTTGCAATGTGACAATAAGACAAGAATTCATTGTGTCCGGTCAAGAAAAAATAAATAAATAAAGTAAATATGATGCATGGGCTGGTAGGGGAATTTTGTTCATTTTGGGCCGTTTCCCTTTGCTTCCAGTCTGCTATGCTAAGACGGCTGTAACTTCATATTCAGAGGATACTCCTAGCAAGAAAGCAAATAAATTTTCATTTTCCAAACTGTTCTTTTAGAAAATATAATTAAAAAGTTGTTGCCTGGAAATTCTCGTTTTTCTCATTGTTACAGCGTGTGTCATTAACAATCTCAGTGGCTTGTGGGGTTGTTGGTGGTGATAAGATTAACACCTGAAATCATTTCATTTGGACAAATGAAGACAGCATTCAGGGTGTCGGTCAGGTGGGACGTGACGCAACAACTTACTGACGCATTTTAAGATTTAGGCTGATAAACCTTCTGTATCTTTTGGTTTTGCCACCTGGACTTAATGGAATATGGTAAACCTTAAAGAGGAATAGGAAGACGTCTCAAGACTTGGTGTGCGTTTATATACAGTATCAATCAGAACTCCCTTCCACAGTTGATGTTGGTGCTCTGTGATTAATGTGAATTTAAATTGTCATGTTGATGCAAAAGATTTAAGACGATTTACAAAAAGGATGTCAAATATATTAAGGATTTTGTTTTACTTGGATAAATTGCATTTTTCAGTTTCGCTTTTAAATTGGCTTTTGGAAAAAAAAATGTATTGATCATTCTGCAACTAAACTACTAACAAAATAAAGACTGACATAGAGGCAATATTAATTTTCCTCATATCCTTTGTTCTGTTTTTGCCAGTATGGACGTGAAACAGGTCTTAAATTCCATTCGTAATGGTCTTAAAGAAAAAGAAAAAGCTCTTAAATTGTACCTGTTGAAACCTGCAGAGCCCTGAATATAGGCTGATGTTGAATTGCCAAATTGTGAAACAGCTGGATAAACAAAAGGCTCATTATGACAAACAGGGTTTTGAATTGGGATACATTCAAATTGATATCATTAAGACACACACACACACACACCTAATTAAGTTAAAGGAGGACATGGAGAGGGAGAATGGAGAGATTAATCTCTGCCCCATTCTGGTCAACGTCTCTGTCAACTTTCAGAATTGATGAGTACAGAATGTGCGGCACATTACAGTGAAGAATAGTCCGTCTCTATGTTTCATCTGTGTGATAAAAAAGGCAGTCACTGTCCGAGTAGTATAAGACATAATGTCAAAATCTCTTTTTCCATTAAAAGTGCCTGGCATTGGCAACAACTGCTGTAATAGGCAGTATTAGAGACAAAACTGGACCCATACGGCCCCTACGTTCACCTTGATCCAATAAACCTTTAAATTCAATCAGCGATATGATGACATAGGTCAGAACAATGAAATGGGAATCATTATAGGAAGACATTACTTGTTTTATTACAAATCACTAATGAAATGCCACAAATGTCAAGTAGAGATGTGTTAAAGTTTCACATCCCTGGATTACACAAGAGATCTGAGAAAAACTACGTACAAAGAACTCCTATAGTTGAAAAGACACAGGGAAACATGAATATTTGTATTACTAAATATAGAACACAACATACATTAAAAGTAAAGTTATTTTACAAAGAATCAGCTAATATATAGACAGTGTGCTAGCTGAGTGCTCAGGTAGGCTGATGATGTCACAAATAAAGAATGAAACATCCTAGATAGAAAAAAAAAAGGTTGGGAACTGCTGTCATAGTATATTGTTTAGTACTTAGTATACAGCACTTAAAAACTAAACCAAAAAACAAACAAAAACCCTAACCACTTACTAACAGGAAATGACACAATACTGTATATGTATTGTCAGACGTCAATCAAACTGAGATCAGAGCAGTGTTAACACTTTGCTTTTAATACTTGTTTTCCATGATCTTTCTACGGCTGTTTCACAATTATCCACACTGCAGACTTCAAAAACTATTAAATCTGTGCTCAATGCACAAAGGGAAATGGAGGCAAGTTGAATCCATCGATCAAAAAACGTCAGGGCTTAGTTGGAAATTGGCCATAACTCACTGACCATTTGTCTATCTCATCATTAATCCTGATAGATATCTTCATTCACTGGAAAGGAGGTGTGTCAAAGCAATTTGATCAAGCCCCATAGGGGGCATCCCAAAAACATGTATCTTTGTAATAATTTGTAATGATGAAAGTGCGTGTGATTGGTCTCACTCCTTTAAACTGAATTAAACTAGCAGAAGTGACTTGCTCAGCTTTGTTGAAGCCTGAAACCTGCTCATTGTTGCTTGCAGTTTTAACTATTGTCCATCCATCAACAGCACACTCAAAAATCAACCATATTTAATATGCATTCTGTCTTGTTTGAGGCTATTTTTTTTAGAACGTGTATACTAAAAACCTACCTAGACTTAATATGTAGTATGGTTGGTGTAGTATGGACACGCCTACAACCGTGCGTGGTGTGCTTTTGAGCTAAAAGCTAATGACAGCATACTGACATGCTCACAATTACAACACCAACATGCTGATGTTCAGCATATATAATGTTAATGCTATGTTCACCATCTTTAGTTCAGCATTTTAGCATGCTAACAATTGCTTATTAGCAATAAACACAAAAACACAGTTGAGGCTGATGGGAAACTTTGACCTGTTGGTGACTTAAAGTCAGTGGATCACCAGAACTTAATGAATATGCGTATATCATCTTGATGGCAATTCATTCAACCTCATGGTGGCTCGGCTCCTCATGAGTAAAAGCAAAAGCTTGAAACTGCAAATATGCCTCTGTCCTTTTTTATAGTAACACTACTCAAATATCTGATCTCCTGGTATCACATATCAAATGATAAATATTTTGCTGCATGTAAAATGATTGTCCAGGTTGTAAATATGGCTTAGAATTGAGTAATTATGAAAATGTAGTAGGCCTAACTCTAAACAATAGTAATATCATAAGTGTTATTGTTGCAGTATGATTTGAGGGAGGTTGGTAGACAGTGTCTGTGGGTTCTGACTGGATAATAAATCAGCCACTGACTGGGATCACTCCTACCGCTGCATCACTGACTAGATAACAGTAATGAATATGGTGCTTCTGGAGCATTTGCGCAGTTGGAGTGAGTGAAGTGCAGCTCACTGACAGTTTAATGGAGCGACTGCAGTAATGTATAAGGTCTTGATATCTTTAAAGTGTGAATGTGTAAATAAATGCTGACTGATCATGCTGTCTGCTTCTCATGCTGCGTGGTTGCGTGTACTCAAGAGCAGACAAAAAGGTTATTTTCTGGTAGATCTTCAAGGCTTAAAGAACCAGTGTGTAGGATTTAGTGGCATCTATCGGTGAAGTTGCAGATTGCAACCATCAGAATACAGAGGATCCCTTTGAAAATGGCCTTACCAGGTTTTCCTGGTAAAGATTTAGCCTATTTTTTTTGCATTATTTAGCCCCTCTTCCGACATGCTAGCATGACATGGTTGGTAACAATGGATGCGTTTCACGTAGTCATCTAGTTGATACTGTTATCTTCACTCTAGCCCTTTGCAGTCTCTGAAAAACAGTGCAGAGTGGAAGGGGTAAGGATAATGGGGTGGTGGGTATTCACGTGTCTTGTTTGGAGCAGCTGTTTTGAAACAGAGAGCGTTTACCCCATTGGTGTGATTTGTTTGGGCATATGTGAACACAGCAATCACACACACAGATGTGGGACAAAACACAAAGAGGGTGGTCTCTGTCCCCCTCAGGCAGACTCTGGGACAGATTGTTTGTGGTGTGAAAACAAATGAACCAACCCCAGGAGTTTTTATGATAGAATGTCATTTCAGCCCAATTTCAAAAACAACTATTCAAAATTCCATCTGCTGATTGTGTTTTCCTTGAATAAGTCAAAGTGTGTACTTTGTTAGTTCATTATGTCCATTAAAAACTGCGTGACAGCGATCGCACAGTAATACGCCCCTGATCATCAACGCTAGCATGTACTGGCTGGCTGGTGTGTTGGCGGTTAGCCACAGTAGTTCACCAACTAGCCCTGTGAGATATGTCACATTGAGCCTGTTTTTACCTGGTATTAGAATGTGTCTCCACGTGCTTATGATCTGATCTGACTTCCCTGTTCTATAGGGCTGTACCCCACTCAGTCAATGTCCATTATTACTCTTTTTTTAAGTTCAACGACACACAGGCTTTTTACCTGCGCTGTCAGCAGAAAAGGGAGTCTGGGGATATTGCAATGACTAGTTCAGTGGTCAAATCAATTGAAACAGACAGCGTGTTCACAGACACCAGCCGTTTATCTCAGCAGGTAACAGAGCCCAAGCACATGATTTGCATTACAGTGAACCAAGCAGACAGCATGTTTAATTTGTACTTACAGGATGTCAGTTGAATGGGCGGTCCTTCATTGTGGCACAGGATGCATTAGCACTTGCACTTCAAATGGATGCATTAGCACTTGCACTTCAAAAGATATGTGATCAAATGCGTCCCAGACCACCTCGGCAAGTGGTTTCAGTGTTCAGATCACAGTATGTCTTGGTGGATGTTTAACTTGAATTTAGAGCTGTCCACTTGTGATCAGATCATCCAAGACACGTTCTGATACCAGGTCTATAAAGGCTCTTAATACCAGGTGTAAACAGGCTCATTGAGGCTTTACAGTCAGCATCACCATAGCAGTCAGACAAACGAAGGTAACAGCAATGGCTGGACATACTGCAGACGATCTGAAAAAACTGGTTGTCAAAACGGTCTCTATATACTAGTAGGATATGATATGGGATATGTTGGAAAATATCACACAGTAAATCTTTTAGAGGAGCACATTCAAATAACCCGCTCTCCTTCTGTATGTACAGTATGTGTGTGTGTAAGTGGGGAGATATTAACTTACGGAGAACAAGAACTCCATGCCGAAGCGACTGAGCGCGGTTGGGCTCCACAGTGACATTCAGAATGGTGGGATTTCCTCCGATGATGCACACACGGTTCTCTTGCTCTGCCTCGCGGAACATTCGCAGCAGCTGGTTGGCTATGACCCCGTTCAGTGCAGATATGGCCACCATGGGAATCACAAAGGACAGGAATGCATTTACCTGTTCAGGGAGAAAACACAGAAGGCTGTAACCACTTTCACATGAGTGAAAAACATCATAGTTAAGATTTATTATCAACAATGAACTTCTATATTAGTGGTATAATAATATTCCCAAGCTAGGGGATTGCCAGTGAGTTGCAAGATAACTTTGAGGTGTCACAAGATGATTAAATGGATAGAAAAGGGCCGGGGGGTACAGAAAGCTGGCACTGTTGGTCCGCATATTTACACATAGGCAGGTGGGGAGGGCAGATATTGATTGACAGTGCCAGGCACTCGCTCGTGTGTGTTAGTCTCCACTGCTATGCAGCAGTGCTTGACCTGCGTCCGGACAGGTGCCGTTGTTTCTTGCTGCTTTGTCCTGGCAGTTGGTTGCTGCGGCTGATCGAGCTAACGGCACCAAGCATGCACTACTTAGCAATCCTTCCATTTGGACCTCAGTACTGTGACATTATTCGCTGGTTCTGTTGCCCAATAATAGCAAATACTGTTAGCAGCAGTTAATTAAGGGTTAGCTAATGTTACTTTAGCAAGCAGTTAAAGGTGTCTGTCCATTGGGAAACTGTAAGTTCTGAGTTTAAACTAAGCAGCCGGAGGACATCAGAGGGAAAACAACTAAATATTTTCTCCATAAAATATGATCCAGTATCACCTAAACCAGTGAATAAAGTCCAGCAGCATCATAATCGAGAAAGCATTTCATTGGATGCAAAATTAGTATACACCCCCAAGCAGGGGATGAGTCATCAACTACTTTTTATAGTTTTTCAGGAAATGGCAAGCTCTAAAATACCATGAAAAATATTTTAAAATACAGACAAAATGACTTTTTTTTAAATATAGTTGACATTTAGCATGAAGCATATGAGATAAAACACTTAAACATCAATTTTGACTTCATGGGGACTCCATATTATTCCCGATGTTTAGGCCAGCACCTTCCATGGCCTTTAAATCTAAGCTGCAAACGGATCTGGCCTGAACTTTCTCAATACCTCAGGTCTTGAACCTGCTAATTACCCGTCCGCCGGGTCGTTTCTTAGTCTCGGTGAATCTATTAACATTAGGATTTATAGTCCATGTTTGTCTGCCAACACGAAATCAATAAATGAACAGCAAACTTTCCGATAACCACTGCAATTCTCTAACCTTCTGCTCTTTTTGTTTGCCACAATCCGCCAAGCTAAGTGTCTCTCACGCTCTCTTATCTCCCTCTCTCTCCCTAGTCTCTCCTTCTCCTGTTTTTTCACTCAGGACTACTGACCATCCTGGGACCTCTCGTTGAACCATTGTACCTGGATCATCGTCCCCCACGACGGGGCATGCCTCTTTTTCCCCATTAAAGGTTTTATCCTTATCAGAATGGAGGGTCTAAGGACAGAGGGTGCTGTATGCTATACAGAATGTAAAGTTCCCTTGAGGCATATTGTCATCCAAGGAAAAAAACAGATAATACAGGCAAAAATAGAACAACAACAGTAATGAATAATACAGATAAAAGAATACATTCATCGTTAATACATTGCGAAGAACCAGGAAAAGCTCATTTAAAGAGGCAAGTTTTCAGTTGGAGTGAGTACTTCAAAAGAAATGCTGTATTTAACTGGGAGCTAGTGTAGTTGCTGATGGGGGTGATGTGGTCCCAGGGCTGTGTATGGGAGAGGACTCTTGCAGCTGAATTCTGAACATACTGTAGTCTGTTCAACCCTTGATTGGGTACAGCAAGGAGAAGGACATTAGAGTAATCTAGGGAGAATTTAATAAAGGCATGAATCAGAGTCCGTACAAAAGAGAAGGGAAAGAGAGGGCCGTAGTGCGGAGATGTTCTTCAGGTGGAACAATGAAGTTTTGGTGATATTTTTGATATGTATTTCAAAACAGAGGGTAGAGTCTAATGTTACACTAAGAGTTTTCATTTCAGCGACGGAGGATGTAATAAAACCAAATCAAGACGCAAGACTTTGTGAAATGTGGCTGGGGAAACAATTAGGATAGCCTCGGACTTATTCTGATTAAGTACTTGCTGGTCATCCAAGCATTAATATCATTTAATAACATTGGTGTGTACATATAGTTGCGTGTTGTCAGCATAGCACTGAAAACTAAGGCTCTATCAAGAGGTAGAACCTTAATGGTCCAGTAATGGTTTGTGATATTAGGCTATATATATATATTTTGACTTGACTAACTCTCCATCAGTGTGTGAGTGTGTGTTTAAAATGTTAAAGGTGCTTTTGGTTTGCTTTTTCCGTACACACTCTGCTCCAGTAACTAGTCATGCTGTCGCTAGCTAGCTAACTAACTGAATCTTCGCTCAGTATCACTAAAAGTTAAAGATTGATTGACGAGTGAATGCCATGATATTGTTGGTGGAAATGGGTGACGTCCCATGCAGTTGTAGCCGTGGCTTGCCATCTCCTGCGGTTGGTTTGTCGGTAGCCTGACATTTTATTATTGCGGTTATTGCAACAGCCCTAACAACAATAACAAAACTGGTGGCTCATTTAGCGCTGATGATTGATTCTACATAAATAAAACCAAAAACTCTGCTGCATGTAGTCACTCTCTTCTCTCTCTCGTCAGCTTTATAATGAAGTCAGTGGGAATGAATACTGTCACATCAAAGCAAACATGTATTTGTATGCAAATATTGCAGATTATTACTTGAAAGCAACCAATGTTTCAAATCATGGGAAATCCATTAAAAAAGGTTAAGCAGACACCTCTTGACAAAGAGGGATGACAGACAGGGTGAAAAAAGTGGTGGAGGACACAAGAGGTGAGGGTGAACTGTGGCAGTCGGATGAATCACAGACACACCTATAAGGGAAATTAAGGCTGCAGCAAAACAAATTGAGTGAGCCACTTTTTGTGCTTTACAAAACCTTTTTGCAACCAATGTAATGCACTCCTTTCATTAAATTAATTCAACAATAGTATTTCATGCTTGCTTTGTTTTCCCTGGCAAAGGAACGATACAAACATATTGACTTCCTAGTCATTTTAAGCAATTCAAAAGTTCCACGAGAAACACTGAACGAAATTACATTTTACATTTTGAGTGCCAACTCTGATAAAATTCCTTTTGGAAAGTTTTGCCCAAATCATTTTCTTCACAGTGCGCTGCCTTGCTGCTGATAGAACATAAAAGAGGGAGAAGAAAGTAGGCAGTGAGGATTAATGAGAGGGAAGAACGGAGCAAGAGAGCGGAAAGGAAAAAAGGAAGAAAGAGAGAGGACACGCTGCTAGACATCAATTATGACAGCTGACTTCTTGCTAGAGCTACCATGTGGAAGCTGTACGAGAGAAAACGTGCATGGTGCGTGAGGTGTTAATTTGTGTACATATTTGCTTAATCAATGTAACTGGAAAAGCTTTTACTTCAGTTCTTCCCTACAGCATTCCCACTCCACCTCCTCACTCACACAGACGCAGATGCAGTGCTGTTGTTGTTCCAAGGGATAATCACGGATGAAAAATGTTAATGGTGTTAATGAACAAGCTGGCTGACTTCTGAGGGTCCCCTGCCTCCTAGACACTGATGACTGATTAAAGTTGAAAAGGTGAGCAGAAGAAAAGCACTGAGGCAAACCCCGGATTCAGAGTGAGACCAAACCCCCTGCTTGGGTGGAAAGAAAAAATTATGAATAGCAGCCAAAAAACTGGCAGAGCTAATGTGAATAATTGGGACTGAAGTGCAAGGAAATTGAGATATTAGACAATAATGATTGTAGGGGAAAGGGTGACACACAGAGAAATAACTCAACGTTTAAAGTGTCGTATTTTGTCATTTTGATATTCTGAATCTAGATATGAAATCTTAAAATTGATGTGCTGTAGGCCAGAAATGATAAGAGGACTTTGATGTCCCCTTTGCTGACTGCTGCCTGGGCTTCAACTGCGTACAATATATAACCCTTATCGAGCGTTGAGAAGCCATTTTTCTAATTTGCCTCCTTGTCACCAGTGATATACAACCAACTTTTGTCTCACTTGTCTTTTCTGGGGGATGTGACTAAAAGTGGGTGATGGGTCTATTTTCTGGTTCTGCTTCCAACCCTGATAAGAACACCAATATATTTTAATGAAACGCTGTTGTTTTCTTTTTGAATTTAATGGTAAAAAATCCATCCTGCTATGTTTGTGGACACAGTTGTAGTGTTTAAGTGATTTGCTTGGTTTGTGCAAGGAAGCGTGTGCGCCAGGGGTGTGCATATTTGTATCTGTCCTTGTTTTTTGCTACCAATTTTTTATTTAAATTACCTGTGTAGTTTGGCTTTTTATTTATATAAATTTACCTGATTGTTACATAACTTGCTAAAATCATGATTACAGCTCTGAGAGGAAACAGACTGCTAGTGTCTGACAACCCCCAAATTCCACAGAGCAAATTTCGTTTCGCTCTGCTCCATGTAGAATACGCATCTAGTCTATTTTTGACAGAAGCTGCGACTTACCCCTGTCAAGCAGCACAGAGCAGATCGCACTGGCAGGAACTCAAACACAGAAAAGCATAGGGAATCCAGTCAATTTTCAAAATAAAATACCTGGATCAAATTTCGCACTACATCAATATTGTGGCACCAGGCCAGAGGCAGGTAAGAGGACATTTTAAGCAGAGAAACACATCGTTTTGTATGCTTTTTAAGGACATAATACACAAATAAACAACGTCAGGCAGGCGACACGCTCTGAATATCAGCTCTACTGAAACACTTGGTGGGATTGGAAAATGCACAGAGCCAAACCACATCAGCAATACGACATCACAGAGCCGTGCCCAATGGAGTTGAGGGGCTGATCAGAGAGAGACACACTACAGGCACAAGTAGAAGTAACCGGTATGAAACTCACAATATGAGCTACAGTATGAATTCCCCCTGTCCCTCTCACATTGCATCTATCACGTCATTTATAAATAATACATGGATAGGGCCTCCACTAATAATAATGATAATAATTATTATAACAATGCATCCCGAGTTCATCCCAAATTGT